GTGGATCTTGGTCAATTCTAGCTAAGAGAAAAACATTTGCGAAACCGTCGGATTTCGCGCACCGATGAAATCCGAAAGTTTGAGATTTGACTCCGCCTGGAGAATCAGAACTTATTATTTGTCCCACGCTCATGACAAGACAAAAGATATCACTTTCTCTACATCTTTACCGTTCTCAAAATCTATTATCTCTCTTATTCTATTTACACACAATTTTACCCACTTTCAAACACCACATTTGAGCGCAAAGATCGCTGCTTCTGAATGTGTAAGCTTCCTTTCTCGCGTCAATGGTATTCAATTTTTCGATTCACACCTAAACCCCAGCAAGTTTCTGTAACCGTTTGCTGGTACTCATTTAAAATCCTGAGTGAAAAGAGGCGTCAAAAATTGAAATCGCCTTTATATTAGCCTACAGTGTAGGCGTCTTGTTGGGGCGAGTTAACGTTACAAGCTCGCGATCGTTTATTAGACCGACCATGTTTGATTTAAAATGGGCGGTGAGGTGAGGGACCGGGGAAAGGTGAGAACTTATATTGCCCCATCTGTCCTATGTTTTGACCATCGTTCACCCCCTAGGACAATTTTAATTGTCTCCCCAGTCTTTCCCTGCACTCGCTCTCACACTCGCTCGCCAAACTTCCGCCATATCAACGAGCTACTTATTCTGTTGCGTGAAGAAAAAAGCAATCACTCCTTACCTTCTACTAAACAGAGTGCTGGTATTACAAATCAACAATTAGATCAGGAGCTGTTTAGTTGCAGTTTCTTTCTCTCTGTTCAAAGTTACAGGCTGGGAAAAAAAGAATAAATGATTAAATAAATGAACGAAGTCGGGATAAAAGTATTTCCCTTTCACTGCTCTTCCTGAATTTTGCGAAAGCTCGGGTAGAACGCAGCTATGGAAATGATAACGGTCGAAGAAGAAGCGTTGTAAAAGCTTTTAAGTTTTACTCAGAAATAAAGATTTGAAGAGACAAAAATTGCTGACTTCCTTCGCAATAAAAACTTGCAGATCATATTTCAAGTTTCTCGGTCGGGGCTGAACGCGGAATCATGTGTCATCATTGGTGTTTAAAACTTGGGAGACATAACTGATTATGAATTAAGAAAAGAATTTAAAAACTTAATCCTGAATATTTTTAAAAAAAAAAAAGATTGTTAATGAATCATAAATCGTTAGGCTAATAACGAATCTCGTGGTTCGATAAATGATTCTCTTCCCAATTCTCGGGTTTACTTAGAGATTGCCCGCCATCCGAAAACTGTTCCGAGATAAAAAGCTGAAATTTAGGACAAAAATGGCATAAAACTGCTTCGAGTTAAAAGCTACAGTCAAAGAAGAACTAGACTTGTTTTTAAAAGCGAAATACGAACTAATTCTTATATATTGAATAATTATTTACTCTTAAGTAAACAAGTTTTAACAAAATGTTTAACAGTGGGACCAGGTACAAAACAACACAAACACTTCAGTTACAGTACTATCCAGAAAGACCTAGATCTCGCCACGGTAGTGACGATAGGTGCCGAAATCTCACTCTAAGTTTACCTTGGTTTTTTTTATGAAACAATGACACTTTACCCCTGGAGGGGGGGGGGGCTGTTAAATGAATTCAGGCTCATAAGACCTAACCATATCAGGAGTCATTATATATTTCGTTGGTTCATCAAAGTGCACTTTCTGTTATTAGCAGTGGA